GTCGGCGGGGCCGTGAGGGCGGGAGGCGAGGGGCCGGGGCGCTCCCCATCGCGGTGTGACCCGCGGCTGCACTTTGAAAAATGAAGCCATATGTCGTTATGTCCCTTCTCCCTGCCCCCGCGCCTCCATTCCCGCGGGTGCCCCACGAGTGCGTCGGGCACCGAGGACCGTAGGGCCGCCGGGAAGCGGCAGCGGCGAGGTGACCCGCCCCCTTCTCGCTCGCTCGCCGGGTCTTTTGACGGAGTTTTGGTATTGCCACCAGTTCTGGCGGTGCCACGGGTGTTTCCCAGCCCAGCGGGACGTGTACCGTTAGCACGGGGCAGGGAGGGCTGCGGGGCTGGCTGTGAGCGCCGGCGGGCCCCGGGGATGGCGCGTAATTCTGCACATGGCGATGTAAATCTCCGTTTTACCTCGGGGACGCTTGGCCTCGTTCACGGTTGGCTCGGGTGGTTCTTCGAGGAGACTGTCAGAGGAGGCAGAGTTTAGCTTAAGGAAACACTTTGAATCTTCACTGTCAGAACAAATTGTCCACATCTCCGGTCCTGACCTTGTGAGTTTCAGGGTTCATTGGGGCACCTTAACTACAACAGCATTTTGTGGAGCTGTTGAGAAGAGCCCATGGCCAAGAGCTCAGCCACGTTCAGCTTATTGTTTCCACAACAATGGAAGCTAAAGTTTAAAAACCAGCCTGGAGATGGGGGGAATACCTGCAGAGTTTAGGCTGTGTAATCCCAGCAATAGTTTGTACACTGGCTGCTTCCCAGGCAGCCTCACAGTACTGCCTTCCTACATCCTTCCCCGAGCTCCTGATGCTCTCCCGTTGAGAGGTGCCTTTTAGAGGAACTTCAGGGTTTTTTCCCTAGAATGCCTCACCCCTTAGATTTGGCTGACCCAAACTGCAGTAGTCCCAAAGCACCTATTCTGCACCTACCTGCTTGCTGCATCTTTCCTCTTAAAGCTGGTAAGTACTCTTTTCTTTCTTTTTTTTTTTTTTTCCTCCTCTTTCCCCCCTTAGTATCTTCCTTCAGTAGTCTTTCCTTATTGTTGAAAAGATGGGCCTGTTCATCACCGTTTCTCCAGTGATATGTTTTGAATAGTTGGCTTGTGTTTTTTGTCAGATGCTCACCAAACGGCAGTCCCTTTGTGTTCAGAGAAGGTATTGAACAGCTCCTCAGCTGTGTTGGTATACAGTATTATGAACACTTTCCTGATTCTTCCAAGTGACTCTATGAAAAGAAGAGGGGTTTTTGTTGTTGTTTTTGAAGTCCTCTATTCATCCGTGTTTGTGCATTTTCACTACAACCCTTTTAAAACATAATCTTTCCCTTGCGCAGGTGGCAGTGTTAGTATCAATGTTTATTCCGTCTCTGGCAGTGGGCTTTGGGCTTCCAAAACTTTTTGGAAGGGTTTAAGAAGGGATACAGGCTAACATGAATATTTTATGTAAATTTTTTTGTCTGTTATAAAAAATATATCTGGATCCATGAAAAAGACTTGTGCAAGAAATATGTATTTTATTTGACATTTGCAGTGAATTGTGAGATTCTTAGTGTCTGACTAAACCTTAATTAATGTTCTCAGCAAGGTTGATGTAAAATAGCCTTGTGCTTATTATTAGTCAGTGGGAAATGGCTCTCGGATGTGCTCTGTTGCTTTGCCGCTTTTATTTCAGAGTTCTCAGTATGATTTGTTATCTGTAAACTGATTAGTGCCAAAGCTTTGGTCAAACGTTTAATGAAGTTGTTATATTTATTATTTCTTTCAAAGATTATACAAACACTTTTTTTTTTCTTAATAGTTGCAGTGTAGGAAAAAAGTGAAGACAACCAAAGAATCATATCTGCAAGCAGTGTAGATACATGTAGATATTTGTAGATATATGTAGATAATCTTATTTCATTTAAATTGAAAAGACATTGAACAATGACATTTATAAATGTTTTTCCTCTTCTTCCTTTCTTTCATTTCTTGTTTGATTATTTGTGTATATTTGTCGGTTTCTCTGCTCCAAAGTCTAAACCTCCCCTACAAAATGAGGTCATTTAAATAAGGAGGAATACTAAACTGGAGTTGTTTAGTCTGAGCAAATAGTGAACCTCCATAGGTGACTGCTCACTCCCTTCTCCCTGGTCGCCAGAGCTGCCCATGGTTGTAGTTATCAGTCACTGTACAACAACTTGCAGGTTGGGGTCCCAGGTTGAAATGGATATTGTACACTTCCGTAAGCACCTATTTTCTTTAAACGTACATAGTGCTGCAAGAAGCACCGCTGGCTCCCAGTGCAGACTGGACACACACCTTTTCAAACGTACTTTATTGCACAAGAAACAAGAGGACTGCATGACCCAAGACGTCAGGACTAAACTGTGCTCTTACAGAAAGTGGGTCAAGGTCCTTGCTTTGGCTGTAGGAATTTTAATTTATCTCTATTAGAAGAAGACAAAATCACAGAACTTCAATCTATGGCTGTGGGCAGCAGGCCCCCAGGATCACTAGTCTATCCTCTGTGCCAAGAACCCCTACAGAAGTCCTGTGTCTGAATGGGAAGGTGAGACCATGCAGCTGTATCAAGACTACAGTTTTAACTATGAAAATAGGTCATCAGCATGCAAGGTGCCTATATATGTTAGTACTGAGCATGTTAGCAGTCCATTTCATGTCATGTTTTAGTCCTTAAATCAAGCCCCTTCCTCGGGGCTTTGACTAGTGTTTCCTCCCTGTATCGTCTGTCTCACTGGATGGAAGTGTTCCAGATATGGAAAGCAAGCAGGGTTATTTTTCTATCACAGAAAAAAATCCAAACAAACAAAAACCCCCATAACACTGCACATTCACTAGTAGGAACCTTTTGAAAATCACAGAAAATCTGTAACCCTTTGATTTCATGTTACCTGTCAGCCAGTTAGTCAAGATATATCATGTATAGGCCATGCCTTATCTATATGTATTGCAGTTTCATTTGACAAACAACTTTGTATGATTTGATTACATGTGTGTTTAAACTTCACTCAGTACATGCTGTCACCAAGGTCCGTGGCACATACTCGGAAAGAAGGCTGCAGCATTTCCAGACAATACTTCCACTTATGGTCACCTCAAGTCACACGTAACTCTGTGTATTTAAAAGCTGCTGGTAAAACAGTCCCAAGCACAGACGTTACAAGCACCCTTTGTCTCTTCCGAACAGGGCTAGAGAATAAATTAGCCATGTGGCTCCATTTTCGAGAGGTACAGGCTGAATTTACTGATTGCTCCAAAGGTCTGAAAACTGCATCATTACCTCAGTGGATAAATACAGGATTAGGCACCTGCAGGTGAAACAAGGGAGGTCTTTGCTTGATCACTTACCCCAAACACTGGGGATAGCTCAGATTTTCAGGAATGTTTTTTTTCATTGGTGGTAGTTTTATTTTTTCCTTGCTAAAGGATCTGACTAAATTCAGTGTAGGATGAGACTTCTGTGTGCTTGCAGTGTTCACGCACACTGTTAGCACACTTCACAGATCTTCCTTTTAATCTTTCCTCCTGTTCAGGGAGACCCTAGAACTGCTTCGGGTGGACCTGTGTAGGTGGTCCCCAGCATCCCATCCGTCTCGGGCATCCCGGGGCGTTGGTGTCTCCAGTCAATCTCAAAAACACATACGCATGGCCACTGCCAGGGGAGCAAGGACTTTGGCTTCCGTCGTGCTACAGCCTGGCTAACAGTGTGGCAATGTCCCAAGGGCTGCAGCAAGCATAAAAAGGCATTTTGCAGCCGCCGGGGGACAGTGTGGTTCTCCCATGAGCTTCCCGGTGCATCCCTACAAGCTGCCAGGGGCTTCCCGGTGCATCCCACCCCGGAGCCATGGCTAGCGGGGCTGCGTGGCTCCGGGCCAGCTCGGCTGGTGCGCTGCCCCCCCGCCGCCGAGCAGCCCTCCTTCTCTACAGCGAGTGGATTCCAGCTTGCGGCGCCTGGAGCCCCGGCCAAGGGGCGCTGGCACCTTCGTCTGGTCTGAAAGGAATAAGGAAAGCGCGTTCACTCGTGCTGTGCCACGATCCGCCCAAGTGCAGGGGCCCCTGTAGCCGCTGGTGGCTCTGCTCGCGCGGGGGGTGCTGGCAGAGCCACCGCAGCACTACGCGCAGAGGTTTATCACCTTCCTTCGTCCGAGGAGCTCAAAAAGTTTCTGCGAGGCTGCTGGACTGGGCTGGGGTGGAGGGGGGCAGAGCGCGAGTTGTTCAGTTCGTGACGGGTTGAAACCAACCGCGTGTGCGGTGGCGGCGCGTTGGGCCGGG